GAGTTCGGTTTGCAGTGCCCGTGACCATAGTTTATCTGAGAGCTGGCATTACGAACATCAGAAAGTCGGCGGTGTGGGACTTGATGTGGCTGTTGGGGATGTCCATGAGAAGTAGTGTGCGAGTGTTGCTGCTGCTGGGGTTGCTGAGAATGCGGATGAGGGTACTGATGCTGTTGCGGCGGTGACGGATGGGAACGCCAGTCTTGCACAAGCTCGAAAGTTGCAGTACCCCAACTTTCCTCGTATTCATGAGCCCATTTGCGGATCTGAGCGTCGTCCCGCTTGCAATATTTGACAAGAGACTAAATGATCAATGAAAAAAGTAAAGCTTCGAGTCAGTGATCGATGTAAGCAGACAGGGACCCAGGTTACGCACCCAAAGAGCAGTACCCACTATCAAGAAGGGGATTTCATGAGAAACAAAAAAAACCGCAAGATCAATGAAAAACACGCAACTGAGTATGCTGTTCTTCGCGCGGTCGCCTAGCATTTGCAATATCAAGTCAATCTTCCGAAGCGCTTCCGAAGCGTCTGGTCTAGGACCTCGGTGCGTGCGGCTTCCAGTCTGGAAAATATCACAAGAAAAATCAGAACAATAAAATGAAAAGAAGAAGCTGGAACCAAGCTCACATGAAGTGCAAGGACGCAAGAAGCGTGGTGAATGTGGATGTTGCACCAACACCACGCACCGGTGTTGGAACTGGTTTCGAACATGCTTTGCTGGACCTGTAGGCTTTGCTCGGAGAACCGCAAGTGTTCCGGTAGCGTGCGATCCCACTCCTAGGTTTGCAACAGCAACGTCAGCGCCACTAGATGTATACGAGGATGTTGGCTCTGATACGGCACCTTCATCTTGTTTTCAGCCTCCATCAACATCGCAGAAGGATTGGATGCCGTCTCTGGGTCTAAAAATAGGGGGAGTTAGCGTATTAGAGGATGAACGTAATGAGGTTTCTGTGGGCGACTTGCCGTTGAGTTCGTCGAGCGCGTATTCCATTTTCGCGTAAATGGAGACGATGCGAATGAGATGTCCGAACTCGGAGGCATACTGGGTCCTAACCGCCGGAAGATAGAGGTATTCTAAAGATATCAGAAGTCAGTTTGAGCGATTGAGACCATGCGTGACAGATAGAAGGTGGATGCGTGAGACAAAAAAGTGGAAGAATGCAGTGTGGGATGGGAAGGCCAGGGAGAAAGTAGGAGCACATCAAGCCGTGGTCCTGAGATCAAAGGTAATAGAAGAGAGAAGGGATTGAAAATAGGAACTGTACGAGAGGAGAACGGGAGAGTAACGACATGGGAGCGGCTAGTGCTGCCGCGGCGCATTGTGGGCGGGGATTAAGGGGGGAGCAAGCGAGAAGGGACAAGGGACAAACAAAGTACGCACCAGGCAATGTGGAATGCACGCCCAACTCGAAGCTTGTTTCGTCCACAGGGAGCCTCAGACGGAGCTCGCTATCGGTGAATGTGACGGGTTTTTTGAAGTAGATAGAAGCCATGACATCAAGGAGATGGATGAGCCAGAAGATGCGGCGGATGGCCTCGCGCTCGATGGAGCGCTGGACGAACTCTTGGGATGGGACCGGGGTTAGCGTCGGGTGCTCCGGACTGTGTACTCCGAGGCCCTCCACGATTTGTAGAGCGAGGTCTGCTTCTTTGATCAGCAGTGGGAAGGAGAGAGACAATGGGGGTATTACCATGAAATCGGGAGCTCCAAATGGCGGTCTTGTCTTTGGTGAGGATGTCGTGCATCTGGAGAACACAGAGAGCCTGGGCAGCAGCGAGGTCTGGCTCAACGACGAGCCGACCTGCGCCATCAAACATCTGGGACAGAGCTTCTTGTGCGAACGGTCTGCCGGCGAATCGAGTGGGTGATGTCCGAAAGCGGGGCTGTTTTGATAGCGGTGCGGCGAGAGCGCAGACGGCGAGAAGAAGGTGAGATGGGACGCGATTGTGGCTGAGGGCGGAGGCAAAGGTGGGCTTGTGGATGACGGCGCGGGCAGGATGGCAGTGGGCGAAGAAGACTGCAAAGAGAATCAGCAGACGACGGGGGCAAGATAGCGGACTACTCGCGATTTGTGAGCTCGCGGGTGAGGACGGGGTCGAGCTCTGCGGAGGCGGCGCGATCCATGGATACGGCGGAGATGGGGCCGTCGATGACGAGGTCGTCGACGGGCATGGGGTTTCCGCGGTCGTTGCGGAAGCGTTTGCGGGTGTGTTTGTGCTCGTCATCGCTGTCGGCCTGGTACGGATGCTGCTGCTGCTGTTGCGGGGGTGGATTTGGGTAGATGCGGAACTGGCTGGACGAGGGCGCGGGGAGGATGGGGCGGTTGTCTGCTGCTGAGGAGGATGGGTCCTGGCGCTCTGGCTTGAAGGGGCGGGGGGCAGGGACGGGGCGGCCGGAGGCGTCTGTGTATGTGCACTGTTTGGAGGCGTAGTAGCTGGCGGGGGTGAGTGTGTGGCGTGCCGGGCCGTGCGGGGGGCTGCTCACCAGTTGCTGCAGGGAGCTGGGGCGGGGGTGAGCTGGGGGAGTGTGGGAGGAGAGGGACGGACCTGTTCCATCGCAGCGGCGTTTGCTTTTGTGGCACGCATCGCAGGCCTGGGGGCGTGAGCGGGAGTCAATAGTGGCAGAGGTGGCTCACCTTTGCTAGCCTCTTTCGCTTTGGGCCCTTCATGAAGCTGGTGGGACTGGAGTCTGAATTTTGCATGGGAGATATAGTGGGTGCAAGTCAAGGGCTGCCTGTCATTTTCTCAGCTCTAGCCGACTTCCCTGACGCCATCGGTCCGCCGGCATTCCCACTCGCACACGTGCAGCCCCGCCCCACTCCGCCGGTACCCAATCAGGACACTAGCCCTTTTGGCCACTCTCTCACGCATATAGCCGCCAAGTATCATCCTTGTATTCACTGATGAACATCGTATGTACACTACAGCTCCCCTTAATCGAACAGACCGAAGCCCATGTCGTCGTCCGACTCCTCCTGCAACAGCACGTCAGCATATTCGATGACCCATCAGGCGGCCAGGCACAGACCTTCTCCTCCTCCTTCTCTTCCTTCTTCTCCTCGGCGGCAGGCGCAGCGGCACCCCCGGCACCAGCAGCGGGCGCCGCGCCTCCTCCTCCTCCACCGGAGGGTACCTGTGCGCCATCACATCAGCATTCGTAATTCGATCCGCGCTAGGCACACTTACAGAGGCGAGCTTGCTCGAGCCCTCAGCAATGAGCTACACATTCCAGTCGCATCAGCACACTTCAGCCGGACCCCAAAAAATGAAATACATACGTCAGCAGTCGATTTGCCCTTCAGCTCAGAAATGAGCGACTCCAGGCGGTCGTCATCGGCCTCCACACCGACGACGCCGAGAAGCTTCTTCACATCGGCGGCGCTGGGGCTCTCGTTGCCGCCAGTTTGGAGCAAAAGGTAAGCGGCGATATGGCGCATCTGCAATCGAAAAATTTCCCTCGTCAACACAGTCCACCCCAACGACGAGACTCCGTACTTTTCTTGTAGTTGTTGGTTAGTTTTGAAAGTTTGGTATCGGTAGCCACAAATCACTGCGAACACCACCTCCACTATCAGCACTCCCCACCACCAAGTATACACGAAACGCACCTTTAATCCGCAACCGGAAGACCTGTGGATTCTAGCCGACGATGAAGGGTTTTTGACTCTGAGCAGTACTCACATCGACTCCCTCTGCGCTTCCGTAAATTGGTACTATACAGTACCACGTGACACATCAGCCACAAATTGATGGTGTTCCCACATTCGTGTGCCATTCAGACTCCGCCGTCCGCCCATCCTCAAGCCCTACCCCTCGCCGCCGCCGACGCCCACCGCCTCAAACCAAACAACCCACCATGGTGCGTTATCCTACTCGGAACGGCACTCTGCTAGGAGGAGGTGCTGATTGCGTTGTTTCCAGGCCGACGTAACCGACCCCGCAGTGGCCGCTGAGCTCAAGAAGAAGCGCACGTTCCGCACGTTCTCGTACCGCGGTGTCGAGCTCGACAAGCTCCTCGACATGAGCAACGAAGATGTACGCTGCCATCTATTTCCTCTTTTCCATGTCATAACCCCCCTTTCTAGTTCGTCGAAGTATGTCACCCAACACCCTAATCTCCCCACCTCTCACCTCCCCTCCCTCTTCCCCTTCTTCCCAACCAAAGCTCGTCCACGCCCGCGCCCGCCGCCGCTTCCAACGCGGCCTCAAGCGCCGCCCCATGGGCCTCATCAAGAAGCTGCGCAAGGCCAAGAAAGAGGCCCCGCCCAACGAGAAGCCCGCCGTCGTCAAGACGCACCTGCGCGACATGATCATCGTCCCCGAGATGATTGGAAGCGTCGTTGGGATTTACAATGGGAAGGTTCGTACCGTCCCATTCTTTTCTAGGGAGGAGGATTGGATGGCTGGCTGGCTGGGAAGGAGGGGGCATTGGGCATGGGATGTGGAACTGCTGAGAGACGGGGATGTTGATTTTTTTTTTGGATAATAGGTGTTCAACTCAGTCGAGATCAAGCCCGAGATGACAGGGCACTACCTCGGCGAGTTCTCCTGCTCGTACAGACCCGTCAAGCACGGTCGTCCCGGCGTACGTTCCCTTCACTCCCCTCATCCCATTAACCCAAACTCTAAACACTTCTCCCTTTTCCTTAGATCGGTGCCACACACTGTAAGCCTCATTCCCTCCTACCTTCCGCACTGATAACTCACTGCGACACATTTGCGGCCCCTGCATCCAACAGCCTCCCGATTGTGAGTTATCGTCATTTCACCGCCTCGTTTTAGATAAACGCTGACATGACGTCGTTCGTTATAGCATCCCCCTCAAGTAAAAGCTTCTCTGCCCAGGTCTATTTCCTTACTTGTATCCACACGCACAAAAATCATCATCATGCGACGTATGCGTATGCCCACTATATGACGTTTTCCTTGCCTCTCTGGTTGTATGTGTCCTTTGTGAGAGATTGGATCTGAGATGCTTGTTCTGCAGCATGAAAGAGACGCTACCTGGTAAATACGCCGCAGAGATCGACCTCCTGCTGGTAGGAGAATATCATCGATGATCCCGAATGGAATTCTTGATAACATTCAATCCATTGGCTCTGTCTCAGCTGATGCCTGAATGCCTTAGCCTATCAAACTGATATAGACGACGACGACATCTGCAAAGGCGATATCGATCCTGCGACGATCCAGGGCTACTATACCGAATCGTTGGGAATTCGACCCGCAAATTACCCAGCCTGCGTCGCGTCGCATCGATGATGCACCTACCCGCAAAAAAAAAAAAAAAACGACTCCATTCACGCCGAGAAGACATGTATAGGTCCTTCTGGGTTTCTCCATTCTATTCCGCCCCCGAGTCCTCTACCACGCCCTTTCGAATTCGATGCGATTTTGTTTCCCAAGCCTATAACGGATTCGGATTTGATCGAGGGAATCAGAATCATCTAAATAACATATCTTTTAGTTGGCGCCTGTGAGCAAGGGTTTTTGTCAAAGGTCACTAGGAGTCGATCACGGAATCGCAGAAGTGGTGAGGAAACTGTTAGTGGAAACCGTCGTGCCTCGGCGTGTGTTAGGTGCTCAGGTACAATTCATGATCATGATGCGGCCGATGTGGGACCGTGGACCGCCGTGGCGCCGAGTTGATGCCAAATCCGGGCGCCTATTTTCCAACAGCCATGGACCTATTGCGATCACACTCGCGTGGCTCAATTATAAAAGTCTAGCGGCGATTGCTTTACAGGCAGGTAATGGAATACATACGTTGGACGCCAAGAAAATCCGAATCCGAAATTGCGTTTTAGCCTCGCTTTGTGGGTGCACCAAGGCTTCTCGGGGTCCCGGCTGCATTACATTTTAAAGGCGTGTTGGGGCAGAAAAGAAGGTGTTCCATCGCTCGCCATGATTAGCGCCTGTCCTCGGGAGTTGGATGTGCCGAAGGAGGAGGAAGTGGGATGACAAGGACTCGACATGCAAGGAGACTGCAGATGCTGATGTTTGCGGATAGGTGTTCAACTCGGTCGAGATCAAGCCCGAGATGACAGGGAACTACCTCGGCGAGCTCTCCTGCTCGTACAGACCCGTCAAGCACGGTCGTCCCAGTGTACGGCCCGGTCCTCTTCCCTTCGCTCCCGTCTAATCCCTTCTTCCTTCTCCTTAGATCAGTGCCGCACACTGTAAGCTCCGGACACCTTCCTTGTATACGTGCTGCAGAGATCGGGGTATTGACGAAGGGAGAATACGATCGACGCGAACTTAAGCGCCCAGATTGCTGGAGATTGGCATGGTCACGTGTGCTCAATGTGGCTCAGGTTCACGAAAGGCGAAAGGCGGGTTGACCACAACCACCACTGCCACCCGTCTACACTCAATCACGACGTCGACTATTATGTCTACTCAATCCATGAGAAGCCAAAAGTACTACCTCCCCGACACGGGAATGGCCATCTTCAAGGTGCGTACCTGTCTACTTACCGAGGATAGTGGCACTATACCGAAGATCCTGCTCGCATTAAAGCACGATACTCTCAGAAAGTGGACGCGGCCGGCATTTAACGACCTGGTTGTCCGGAAAAATCCCCTAACTGCCAAAGAAATGAAGAATTTGGGACCTATTAGAAGTGCCGTTATCTGCGCGGAGCGCGAAAAGTACGCGGCCCAACCAAAGAATACTGGCTTCGGTTTCTGGACCCCGTATTTGGACGTTCCTGCTTTCCACCACGCGAGTTCATTCTGACAGGATATGACCTAGCCTATGTGACTGAAGTGGACTACGACGACGTCAGCGAAGGCAATCCTGTGACGATCCAGGCTACTATTCCCTGGTTCAATGACGATTCTATTTGCTAAACGATAGTAGGTCCCTAGGATTCAGACTGGCATGATTGACCAATCGTATCGATGATACCACCTACCTACCTCGAATATACCATACCACCAGGAAAAGACGATTCCCAGCCCCAATTCTATCCGTATCTACATAAGGAAGTACAAACCCTTCTACGAGCCCCTTTCGGAGCCTCTTGCAATTATTTCCTGAGTCAAGTCGTAGCGAATTGGAAGCGACCATCCGACACCTTTTGGCGCTTGCAGTCATGGGAACTCAGTCCATGATGACAAAGTTATAGAATCGTGTTTTCCTGGTTCACCCTCATGCAGATGCATAAATTGATGCATGGCGCAGTCGGTGTGTGGCGCCGAACTGATGGTGGGCGTCTATTTACTGTGTCGACAGCCTCGTACCAATTTCCCATACTTAGATCATACTATCCCTCTATTATTCCATTTCACGTAATGTCTTAGCTCTCCGGTCCTCCTCCTGCCTTCCCTTGGCATGATAGCCATGGGCGTTAGGGTTTAGTGCAGATCACAACATACGGACGGCCGGACCGGCATACGTCATCCGGAATCAGATATCGCGAACGAACCGCCGGCTTACTCGTCTCACCACAACCACTGATCAACATGCTCCCGAACAGCGAGAAGGGCGGAGGGATCCTGCCTTCCACCGCCGCACCCAAGGCCGATGCGCCGCCACCGAACCCGCCTACGCGCCTCGAGCGCGTAAAAGCCAACTTGCGCGCACAGAGCAGGAACAAGTTCTGGCTCGCCGTGTTGGCATACGCCGTCTTCCGCCTCTTCTACTACTCGTACACCGACGTGTTTATTGGGTTCTACGCTTCCAAGGAGCCGTTGTGTCCTCAAGCGGACGTTGTCATCCCCGAGCGGGCTTCTGAGCTATGGAAGGCGTTGAACGACAAGATAAGCACGCCCGACTTCAAGACAAGCGCGATTGACTGGCTCGCAGGGGCCGTCCGTGTGCCGTGAATCTCTTTACCTGTTTTTCCAATGGAAATGGGACTTTAACGAGAACATTTCAGGACTGAATCTTTTGATAACATGGATCCTGTCGGTGTCGATCCTCGGTGGGACGCGTTCGGTCCTTTCCACGACTACCTTCTGGGCGCTTTCCCTCTCGTGTAGGTCATCTCCACAATTCCCTTCGATCGCTTTCTTACATTAGATCAGCCACAAAAATCTCAAGCTGACCAAAGTCAACACCTACGGCCTCCACTACGAATGGACGGGAACAGACGCGTCGCTCAAGCCGCTGCTCCTCGCAGCCCACCAGGACGTCGTCCCCGTCGATCCAACCACTGTCGATCAATGGGTGCACCCACCGTACTCTGGTCACTTTGACGGCAGTCGAGTATGGGGCAGGGGTAGCCTGGACGACAAGAGCGGTCTGATTGGTATCCTGTGAGTCTCGGATTCCCAGGTACAGCCAAATGACCATGCGCTCACTGATGGATGGTAAAAATAGCTCTGCGGCAGAGACGCTGCTCGCAGCTGACTTCCAGCCAACAAGGACCGTCGTTCTTTCCTTTGGATTTGACGAGGAGGCTGGCGGATTCAAAGGCGCCGGGTCTCTTGCGCCGCACCTCGAGCGCGTCTACGGCGAGAACGGCTTTGCCATGGTCGTTGACGAAGGATGTAAGCCCTCCTCCTGCTTATCTTATTGACACCTTAGACCCATCCTGAAATAGCAGAATTTTATGAGCAGTTCGGGACTGTGATTGCCACTCCTGGTATTGCGGAGAAAGGGTTCATCAACGTCCTGGTCGAAGTCACTGCCCCTGGTGGCCACTCGAGTGTGCCTCCAGCTCATACGGTCGGTGCCTTCTCATCCGGCTCGGAGCTGCGACCTGATAGATTTAGCAGAGTATCGGGATTCTCTCTGCTCTCCTTGTGCATTATGAACAACACCCTTACAAAGTCAAGATTGTGAGCAAATCTTGTCCGATATTTGGACCTCATCTTCTCACCTTAGCGTAGGGAAGGAAAGAGCCCATCTATGAAACCCTCCGATGCATTGCCGAGCACGGAAAGTCGGTTCCATCTAAATTCCGCGATACCATCAAGAAGTCCGCCCATTCTCCCAAAGCGCTTCATGCTCTACAGTCTTATGTTCGGGAGGACATACTCCTCAGCAGCCTCGTCGGCACTACCCAAGCAATCGACGTGATCCAGGGTGGGGTCAAGTCCAATGCCTTGCCCGAGAAAGCATGGGCCATCGTCAACCACCGCATCGCTGTCACGAGCTCCGTCGACGAGATCAAGGCACACGACACGGTTCTCCTCAAATCTCTCGCCCACAAGTTCAACTTGTCCTACAGCGCTTTCGGCAGCCAGATTTCAGAGGAAGGTGTCTCAGCCAAAGGCGCTCTCACATTAGCGGACGCCTTCAATGGAAGTCTTGAGCCAGCTCCGGTCACCCCAACGGGTAAGGACGCTGCTCCGTTCCAGCTCCTTTCTGGGACGATCAAGGCCACGTATAATGCGCATAGGTCCATCAGCGATGGCGAATCGATTATCGTCGCCCCGAGCATAATGACCGGAAATACTGACACTCGGTTCTACTGGAGGCTGTCTCCGCATATTTTCCGCTACAACCACTTCAACGCTGTGGGCAGAGAGGACCCTCTGGGTGGCATCCATACTGTCAATGAATGTAAGATTTTGCTCCATTCGTATTGTTTACACCGTGTGCTGATCGCACTATCGGTCTAGTCACTGAAATTGACGCCTTCTTGGAAGTGATCCGTTTCTTTACTACCCTCATTCTGAACGCAGACGAATCGAAATCTCTCTAGAGTAGGATATCTTGACACGAGGAACACAGGATATAAGTGGTGCGTACCTCTCGTGAAACATCGGTACGATTTCAAATTGATACCAGTAAAGCATGCACATGTATGTATTTATGAATTGATGTCGATGAATAACCCTTCAAACAGAGTCCTGTCTGCCTCCATGAATCGAGGAAAATAATTCTGAAACGCAAAGGACATTAATATTTTAATCTGGATTGCCATCGAGTTCAAGCTTAGCTCATACCTGCCTGACATCCGGGCACACGTCCACGAGTTTGGAGCAAAGTTTCGGTAGCCTCTTCTTCACTTCATCTCGTCCTTGAAGATAATTTGGTCGCTCTACACTCATAAAATGCGATCAGGAAGCGTCTACGTAAATAATATGAACGCTTACTCTCGGAATTGACCGTAACATCTCTTTGTTCTTCGTCATACAAGCCCACCCAACACCGTGCTATCCCATCAAGCATAGTCTCTGACCATGACTTCATCCTGGGCTTGCACACGTCCATCAGAGTTTCCAGAACACGGATAGCTGATAGCTGCATTTGAACATCACGGTCGACCAAAGGCCGAGGGATGAGAGCGTGTGTTAATTGTGGTACGAGAGCCTGATTGACCGCAGAGACGTGAGAATGGAGCCTCATGAATGTCAGAGAGCGCCACAGCACACACTTGGAGAAAACGGGCGGATCCTATTTCAAGAGCTTCGAGCAGGGGTGGGAGCGCGTCGAAAGTGGCGGTTACAACGGCAGGCTTATCTTCTGCATAGAGCCAGATACCCGAGATGATACCCTCGCCCAAGAGGGAGGATAGTTGGTCGAAACGGTCAGAAGAGGGTTTGCCGGCTGGTGGGACGGTCGTTGTAAGCAAAGTGAGGTTGACAGACGCGCTGATTGCGCTCCGTATGAGTTGTGGGGTCTCGGGACTTTGGAGATGGGATAAAGAATTTTTCAATGACTAGAAGTTTATGGGATGAATACAGATAGTGTTGACAAAGGATGCTTACTTGACGTAGAAGACCGTCAATTCCTGTTCGACTGAGCAACCCTTTCGGAACATGGTGTAGAAGCTCTTGAACAATCTCAACGCCCTGGAGCTTATATCTGGCTTCGTAGTCATCCAAAAGAGCCATGATTGGAGGGATAATTAGGTGCCAGATGTTTTCGTACGCTTCTGACTAGTTGGAAAGAATGTTACGAAGCACTCAGTACAGTCATCTGGTACTTTCGGGACTTACCTCAAGGTTCTGAACACACCAGAACACCACACTGCCGATACCGGGATACTTTTTCCAACGCTGATCCTCGTAATAATCTTGCAAAGCTAGATGCCCTCCAGCAGGCTTTCCCACTTTACGGCCTGTTGCGGTGTGAAGATGGGGATGAGGGTTTGCCCTGAAGATCGGTCGGAGGTTCTGCGTCAGAACTTGGCTGACAAGTGCCTGTGGTGAACAAGAAAAAGGGAGTAAAGCGAGGATACCTGTGGTTAAGATGAATGATAGAGAACACTACTCAGCGGTAATGAAAGGCAGTGCGACGTACTCTTTGCAATGGGCGTGCATTCTATAGCAACCCAGCTGTCCCTTTGTCCACTTCGTGTAGCATCATTCCAAGGACAAATGTTCTCAAAAGGCACGCATAAGAGCACTATATCACCTTGATCCTTAATAGTAAGTTTCGATTCGCCTGTGGAACGGAGCATTGCCAGAAGTTCGTCCAAGGTTCCGACAACGCTCTGTTTCCAAAGATCAAGGGCCAATATAGTAGATGCCTCTGTGATCTCCTCGTAACGCGTGAAGTCTGGTGGTATTTCGAGTTTCTGGAGAACAGACGAGAGGCCGACATAATTACCAGACATAGCTGTTGCAGCCATGGGTTGACTTCACGTTCGACGCGTCTTCGGCCTTCCGGACCGCGACAAACTTACTCCCACATACTCACTAGCTTGAACCGAAACTGTGCCAGTGTTGAAGCAACATAAGTAGCTCTTCCACAGCGCTTCCACAGTGCTTCTCTCTGTATTTACTAGTCTTTCCTGACATATTAACCTTGGTCTATGGATGCCAG